GTGTCTAAGTTGTAACCTTAATTAATGCTACATTTTTTGCCATTAGGAACCTGTCACGATCAAGTGAATGATTTTTTGTGTGACTGTGCAGTGGGCTTCAAAGGAGGAAACTGTGAAGTAAACATTGATGACTGCTTATCTGCACCATGTGACAATAATGCTACATGTGTTGACTTAGTCAATGGATTTTCTTGCAATTGCATGAGTGGATTCACTGGACTAAAATGTGAGATAGATATTGATGAATGCAGAGACCACATGTGTATGCACAACTCAGCTTGTGTTGATGGAATAAACTCATACAAGTGCATCTGTAAGCCTGGTTTCACGGGACAGTTCTGTGAAGTTGACATTGATGACTGCATTCAGCAGCCATGTAAGAATCAAGGTGTGTGTATAGATGCAGTGGATGACTTCAGATGTGTATGTCAGACTGGTTTTACAGGAAAGGATTGTGTGGTTAACATTGATGACTGTGCAAATAATCCTTGTCATCACAATGCCACATGTCTAGATCTTGTCAATGGTTACAACTGCACTTGTCCAACAGGTTATACGGGTAAAGACTGTCATGTGGTCGTTAACAACTGTGCTAATCCACTTTGTTTGAATGGTGGAACATGCATCAACAGGCCTGATGGACAAGGATATGACTGCATTTGTCGCAACGGATTCATAGATCCAACTTGTTCATTAAATATGGATGACTGCTCTCCTAATCCTTGTCAGAGTGGGGATTGCATTGATTTGATTGACAATTTTATGTGCAACTGTTCAGGGGGAATCATAGGAAGAACTTGCGCTGGTTCAGTCAATGCATGTAATGCATTCTTTTGTCGCAATGGGGGTACATGCATCTCTAATAATTCTTCATTACATTGTGTTTGTCCAGAGGGTTTCACAAGCACACACTGTGAAGTGGATATCAACCACTGTCATTCACACAACTGTCAAAATAATGCCACTTGTGTAGATGGTGTCAAAAATTATACTTGTCTTTGTGCCAAGGGATATGCTGGTCATTACTGTGAAATAGATCTTGATGAATGTGAAGCTAATCAATGCAGCAATGGAGCAACTTGTATGGATTTGATAAATGACTTTAAGTGCCTGTGTGCTCCAGGTTTCCAAGGGCGGACATGCACTGTAGACATCAATGAGTGTTATTCATTTCCTTGTTACCATGATGCATTATGCACTGATTTGGTCGATGGCTTTAAATGTACCTGCAAGCCAGGTTTTACAGGAAAGAAGTGTGAGACAAATATTAATGACTGTACTGGTGACAGCTGTAAGAATGGAGGGTTCTGTTTTGATGGTATCAACAAGTTTCAGTGTCTCTGCAGTCCAGGCTTTGGGGGCAACAACTGTGAAATAAACATTGATGATTGTGCCAGGCAGCCATGTAAAAACTCAGGCAACTGCACTGATTTTGTAAACAACTTCAAATGCACTTGTTCACCAGGTTATACTGGCAAACAGTGCGATGTGGACATTGACGACTGTGTCAATCAAAAGTGTCGCCATGGGGGTTCATGCATTGACTTAGTAAATGGTTTTATCTGCAACTGTCCTCTGGGGTATACAGGTGTACACTGTGAGAAGGACATAGATGAGTGTCAGTCACAGCCGTGTGTCAATGGAACATGCTTGGAGGAAGTCGGTAGTTATAAATGTGTCTGTCAAAGTGGCTTCACTGGAGACAATTGTGAAGTCAATGTTGATGATTGCGCCAGTTTCCCTTGTCACAATGGAGGCAAATGTTTTGACATGGTAGATGACTATCTCTGTGTCTGCCCTCTTGGGTTTAAAGGGAAAACTTGCAGAGTGAACATTGATGATTGTTTGTGGCAGCCTTGTCAACACAATGGAAGTAGATGTGTGGATGGTGTGAATAGTTTTAGCTGCATGTGTGCTCCTGGTTATAAAGGTGTCAACTGTTCTATAGAGGTGGATAAGTGTGCAGTAACACCCTGCCAGAATAATGGAACTTGCACCAATGAGATATCTGATTTCACTTGCTGGTGCCTATCAGGCTTCAAAGGTGAGAAAAACAATTGAAACTGCCCAAATACTTAAATGAACACAGCTTTTTCGTTTTTTTTTTCTTTTCTCAAATAGCAATGTCAGTTTTCTCAGTAATGAAACACGGACCTCGTTGAGATCAGTCCGTGAGCCAAATATTTTCCTGTCCGACCTTCGCACTTCATCAATAAGAATTTAATTCAACAAGTAAAAGGCTGATGAAATTATAAGATCCTCGCAGCTAAGAACACTACTGAAACGAGTAGTTGTAAATAGGACCTGAAAAAAAATTCAGGCCCGTACGGGATTTGAACCCATGACCTCTGCGATACCGGTGCAGCGCTCTACCAATTGAGCTAACAAGCCAACTGGGGGCTGGTCAATGAATTGGGTACAAATGAACATCCAAGTGAATGAAGATATATGAAAATTCACATATTTAATATTTTAATATGTGAATTTTCATATATCTAAAAATCTTCATTCACTTGGATGTTCATTTGTACCCAATTCATTGACCAGCCCCCAGTTGGCTTGTTAGCTCAATTGGTAGAGCGCTGCACCGGTATCGCAGAGGTCATGGGTTCAAATCCCGTACGGGCCTGAATTTTTTTCAGGTCCTATTTACAACTACTCGTTTCAGTAGTGTTCTTAGCTGCGAGGATCTTATAATTTCATCTCTCCACCGCAGTGCAAATATGTGAATTTTCATATATCTAAAAATCTTCAAGTAAAAGGCTTTTCGGTAGTCTGTTCGAGGCAATAATTTCTATAGTATGACAGAGCGAACTTACCAAACGGACCATAGTGACGGACGAGAGACTGGACCTAAGCCTCCCTTGTTTTTTTCACTCTCCGCTACTATAGCGCTGTTTACTATCAGGCTTCGCTCTACAAACTGAATGCCTGGAACAGGCTATATTTTCTTGGAGAAGCATGGCATGCCCATCTAGGTGTTATTGGACCCCCTTTACCCCCCCTCCCCCCACCCCACCGCTAGGGGTTCGTACGGGTACTGGAAAACCTGGAAAGTCTCGGGATTTAATTTTGACATTTCCCAAGACTGGGAAGTCCTGGAAAAAGACCGGAGGTCCTGGAAATCTGCTTAACTTAAGCATTTAAGTTTTTAGAATTAATGCTATAACAAATGTATGTAGCCATAAGGAGAATTGATTTTTAAATCTGGGGAATGTAAGGTTTAAGGTGAAATTCGGAGTCCTCAAAAAGTCTTTTATGAAAAGGGTACGAACCCTGCTTTCCTTCCCTCCCCCTTTCTTTCCTTGGATCCCATATTGAAATATGGCATACACACTGTATGATTGAACGTGTTAAAAATAAATTCTAACTTCAGGTCGCTATTGTGAAATAAAGGAAACAGATAACTGCGCGAGCTTTATTTGCTTAAACGGTGGGAGATGCCATCGAACTGAAAATGGCACAGGGTGCATATGTCCCAGAGGGTACCATGGCAACCACTGTGAAATCAAGAGTGACAGGTGCCAATTATCTTCTTGTCTCAACGGTGCCACTTGCTATGACAATGGAAAGGACCTGTTCTGCAAATGTCCCGTGGGTTTTGTTGGAAAAAGATGTGGAAAAGGTGAGTCGATGAAAACGTGGTGGAATTTAAAAAAACGACTGTCTCATAGTTGTTCATCATTGTTGCCTCAGTTCCATCGCCTGACGTGAGAAATCAATAAACTTGATTGCGGGATCTCTATGGAAAAAAAGAAAATTCATGTTCGCGGACGGTTTTATCTATTTTGAGATTACAATACTTCATCTGAACACTGTAAAAGCCTTTGTTAGAGTAACGGGACGAATTTTCCCTCATGCTCTTTGGGGAAGTTTTATGGCATTTAATCAAGGAGAACGGCAATGCACGATTTTTTGAGTGACACCCCTGATTCTAAGTGAGAGCATTCATAGGGGATGATTTCGAGCTTGCTTGCCGTGATTTCGATCGCAAAACCCAACAGACGGAAATTTCTTGAAAGGAGAGAGTTATTTAGGTAGATTTTGGAAACCGAGTCAGGCAGGTTGATGCAATCTCGTATAAAGACATTGCAGGTGTACCATACTGATTTCGGTGTTAAAAAGTTCGTTGATACTCTCTACCCGCTAAATCATTATCGAAGAAGCACTAAATCACGTCATCTTATTCGATAAAACTTGGAGAAAGGGAAACTCGAGGAACCAAGTCACAGTTGGTTTTCTTTTGCATTTGTTTGTTTCAGAGGGTTCCGTGCTTTTTTCTTGTGCAATCAAATAGCGATTTAAAGGAAAACCATTTTAATTTCAGATTAATATCGACGCCCGGTAAAACGTGCCCTAACTCACCTTTTGAACAATCCGGGGCCTGGCAATTTTAAAATGTTCCGTAACCCGCGGCCTCTAAGAGTGACCAGCATCTAATTTAATCGCACAATATCACACGTTAATCACGCATTAAGGCCACAATAATAAAGGAAATGGTCACCAACAACAGAATTACTTGATTGTTAAACAAATTCTCCTTGTCAGCACCTTAAGAAATGTACAGAGAATAGTATGGAGAATATGCATCCTGATGTTCGAGTGTAAAGGGTTAATTCCTCTCCTACACTCTTTCCCAAAGGTGGGTAGCGTCATGTTCCATGCAATCAATCAAAGACTATTAACATTATCTTACAGCTTTTGACCACTGTATTGCTCGGGTGGCTGATAGCAACATGACATTTCCATCCAACATATGTGGGCCACATGGAGCATGCGTGAGTCGTCGCAATGGTTTCATATGTACGTGTTATGCGGGTTACACAGGACTTCTTTGTCAGCACGGTAAGTTGGGTTGATTATCAATCTGGTGCCCAGTACCCATTGTTGTGGAGAGTGACGTCCTGACCCGAGGAAACACATTGATTTTTGTAACCTCTCAAGCAAAGTTAGTTCGAACACGAGCAAATTTTTGATGTAATGGTTTTATCTCTCTTGGTCTTCTACGGAGATTCCGGTCAAGGAGGCGAGTGCGAGGCGATTGGTAGACGAGTGCGAGGCGATTGGTAGACGAGCGCGTGGCGATTGGTAGACGAGCGCGTGGCGATTGGTAGACGAGCCCGAGACGATTGTTAGACCAGCGTTGTTGCGTGTAATGCAAGAGCGCCAATACAGCAGGAGTATGCATTTTTACCCCAACTTTACGGTTTCCAACTAGTATAGGACTGAATTGGGTTGTTGTTTGGCCATTTTCTGTGTAATGTATCGTTTTTAACATTGATTTTTTTTTATCTGTTCTAGAAATAAATGAGTGTTTGTCAAATCCTTGCGGAGAAAACATGAACTGTATCGACGGAATTAACTCTTTCACTTGTGAGCTTGAGGCTGAGGTTGGCAATGCAGCATTCTCAGGTTGGTGATGAACAATAAAAAACTTATAATCTCATCCTTGAACATAGTGAGAAGAGATGACTGACTCTGACAGCTGGCAGAAAGTTGAAAAACTCATGTCAAGTGGGAGCTCTCAGACAGTGAAGAACATTTTGTTTTTGTTCTCTCACATTTTGAATTATAAAAACCTGTGAGAGGTTTCTGTTGATCATTTAGTTCAATGTGATGGGTATGCTATCGATTAATGCTTTTAAATTCACCTTGCAGTTTCAGTATATTGCATCAAATTCTTTTTGTTTTGTTGTGTCCAGGTTCCCAGACCAAGTCTTCTTACGTAATTCCGTTTGTCGTGGTAGCGGTCGTGTTGGTGTTGCTCGCTGCCTTTGGTCTTGTTATCTTTAAACTGAGGGCTAGCAGACAGAGAAATGGACGAATGAAACTGAAAGAGGATCATGCAGACACATTGCCTCATTCCTACCCTCAGGAGAAGACTTTCGAGAACCCTATATACCAAGTAAGCATATTTAATCCCATGATTTTTAACGATTGATTGAAGTTCGGAATGATAACGGGAATCAGTTAAGGAGTGGAAGAGTGAGACGGATGACACAAGGCAGGACCTTGATAGCTCCGCTGTCATGCGAAAACCAATCAAATAACTTTATCATGCATCATATCACGGATCACACGTGTCGCCAAAATGTGGTGAGAACTTGAGTGACTTGCCTATGGCGCGTGTGCCGCTTTTTTGTTCTTACCAAATTTTAGCGGCAGCTTTCACTTCAAAGTGAAAAGACGTCCGGTGAAATTGAATCTATTTTTTAAATAGATAGGACGATTACTTTTAGGCGAAAATCGCCAGAAACACACTAACATTCGTCATAAGCCACCATACGATGGCCTTTTTTGTGAATGCATCTCCTGCACTTGAAATTTGACCATTTCTTAAATATTCATCTCATTCTTTCCTCTTAGCCCTGTGATGAGGTAATTTCTGTGGAGTGCCGTGACGATATCGCCTCTCTACATGCTCTGAGAGTTCAGATTGACCGAGAACTGCTCGACCTCTCCTTCTTGAGCGACGCGGAAAGCATGGGCCAAAGAGAGCTTGCGAAAAGTTCTTCGGCACCAGATCTCCGAAACTTATCCGTGACAGTCACAGATATGGAGACTAGTAGTGTGTGCTCAGTCGATGATCTTTCCCAAGGATCCTTGGGAGCAGAGCGTTTTCTTGGGGCAAGCACAAGCGCCTGTGACGTAAAGCGGTCCAAAGAATGGCTTGATACTTACCTTTGATTAGAATAATGGGTTGTGATCGATAGAGGTGGTAGGCTTTGTTACACTTGGGAAGGAGTTCTGACTTTGGTATCGGTATTTATCGAATAGTCTACAGAGCATTTCTGGAGGGCCTTTGTTAAGAGAGCAGACGAGTAGTAACATATGCCGAATCGCTTGAATTTCTTCAAATGTAGTTTTACTTTACTGCGTCTTCAACGACATGCTCATTACACATCTCAACAAAAATTATTCGAATTGCACTTTATCCTTCTTCCAAGCATGTTACAGACAACCCAGAAGAGCAGGTTTGATATTCTGAGAGTTCAAAACGTTAAGCTCGTGTGTCTGTATTGCAGGAGTTATCGATTCATATTGCTTTTTCCGATTCCTTTTGGTCTTGTTTTTCATTTCTTTATACAATAAAGGTCTACGATAGCAAAAAAGAAAGTTTGGTTTTCACGTTCAGAGTTTGCGTGTTATTGAGGTTTCGCGGGCATGGCACATGCGAACAAACCGAAAAAAATGTAAATAGAGTTCATTTTGAGTTCATGCAGAACTTAAACGCATAATTTATTGTAATAAATAACGCTGGGAAGTAAGAATTGATCAAAATGCCTGACATCAAAGATTTATGACCAATGTTAATTTATTTATTTTTTCATACTATGTTGTATTTCGTTCTTGTCAGAAAGCAAAGCCAACACAATGTGTTAAGTTTAACTTGTAAGCTCAAGCAATTTGTATGTAATAATGCTGCTAAAACGGCTAAAACAAAGATAGCTGACCATGCATGGAATATTTATTTGTAAAGAGGACAGTAATTAAGGAGAAGAATTAAGTGATTACCAGAGTAAGACATTGTTGCTCGCTTAATATTGTAAATTTGGATTGAATTAAGAAAAGACAAGTTATACAAAAGTTATCGATGGTTAATAGAAGTGCAGGTATGAAATTGAAAAGAATATTGTGAAATCGGCCAATAAGAAATTGTATTTAACACAAAGGTTGGATAATCAAATGAATTTATTGCATAATCGAGATACGTGTTTAATTACGAACCATGTGTTTTTTAGGCTGTATGATAAAGACTAGAGAAGAGGCCATCGTGTGTTGATAGTATGGTGTAATATTAGAAATATTAGTAAACTCCAAAGGTAGAGAACCGAAAACTATTATCATGTATACATGTTACAATAAACCTTTTTTTCTCTGGTACTGTTTGGCTGTTGGATTATCAGAGGCTAAGAATGACGTTAACGCAAACGGGAAGAATGGAACTTCTTGCCATGGGCTTGGAGACACTTTGCCCAAAAGTTGAATTATATTTGCGTTAACTGTAATCGAGCGATATATTTTTTGCCATTTTCCAATGCTTCAAACTCGCTGTTCTTTAACAGGATTGGTGTCTTGTAACAATTTCTTATTACTTAATATTATTATGTTATTTGTTGCCCCGATACTCAGATCTTCCCCTCATCCTAGATCAACCTACAGTGTGTCATCTCCCTTGCCAATTTTCAAGGTTACCGTGGGTTTCCCCGCATGGGAACCGCTAAGGTGAATCGCCTATAGCATGGCATTGCAACCGCTCATCCCAAAAAGCGGGAGGCTTGGGTACCAAAATACAAACAAAGATGGAGAACGCTCTATGTACGCCTTTGTGAACTCGTGAAGATTTAACACTTCATGCCGTTCTTCAACTTCTTACCTGAAAAGTGTCGCTTAGGGCGAACTGTATGATTTAGGAATGAGTTTAGGCATGGGTTTGGATTCATCAAAACCAAACCAATCAGATATTCACGGAACACAACTGGCTCTTTGCACGACAACTTACCGGTCATTTCATTTGAAAGGCGAACCAGTTCCTCCACCCTTTACCGTCTTGAAGGAACTAAAGCATTCAGGCCCATTAGGAACTGATCAAATGATGAAGGTAACAGCCTGTGCCTTTTCTCCGAACGACGATACAAGTTTGCTGTCACTTACAACATTTGCTGGCCTTGATTTGAGACATTTTCGAGCAGGATTTGTTCAATGTTGGGACCTCGATAGCCTCGAGGAAACCCATGATAACAGCCTGTTCACGTACTCACCGCGTCCCGTTTGCAATTTTTCGCCAAATGGGGAGATTTTGTCGTTTATTTTAAACACAGGTCACGGACAAATTATTTTGGCTGAGCACACAGACGATTGTACTCTAGAACCGTTCACAATTGACTGTGATACAGGTGGATATGGCGATAGAAGTCTTCTGTCCAGAGCTTTATGTTGCGTGTTTTCTCCGGACGGCCGCAAAGCCGTGACAGTGAGCAATGTTACGCTAGAATCTCACAGAGGTACTGAAACAAATGAAATTTGCCTATGGCAAGTGAAGTCCAAGAAAAAGCTAAAAAGTTCATGGAGAGTCAGTTGTGAAGTTGTTTTTCCAGGATTTTCCGGTCACTTGATCAGCTGTGTCTTTTCACCAGACAGCTCCCTTGTTGCATTTTCCAGTTCCTTGAGTCAGCTATATGTTCTGAAAAGTGAAAATTTAGAGTTGCTGTCTGCCATTAGGACTGATGTTGCAAGAAATGCTTGCAGTTGTTCTTTTGTTCCCTGTTTTCCATTTCAAAAGCTTGCAGCCTGCTATGAGGATGGTGTTTTTCAGATCTGGTATATTCAAGATGGTAACACTAAATGTGTAACAGAAACAAAGATTGTGACAGGTTCAACTAAGTTGACAGCATTTTCATACAGCGCAGATGGTGCCTTATTAGCCTTTGGTACTTCACAAGGAAAAGTTATTGTAACTGAAACAGAACTGTTACAGACTCTTTATGAGATAAGTTCAATACATGTACCTGATGCCAGGCTAGACTCTGTTTCTAATGAGTCAAGCACAACCATTGTGTGTTCTGTTGCCTTTGCAAGGAGCTGTAATGAACTGGCTATTGGACAGAGTGATGGCTTAGTTCGGATCTGGCAGTTGCCTCTAAAATTTGAACTGCAACATTTATGTCGTTTAGTGATTAATGGGTTGGTTCCACCAGCACAAGTGACACATCTGCCCTTACCAAGAAACTTAAAAGCTTATCTATTATTTTCACCTCTTGCTAGTACAAGAGTAAATGAATGTTCTTGAAGATCCGAAGCAAATTGTAGCCATTAAAGAGACCACTAAGATACAGAGACTCTATGGTGAGGGGGCCCATACCATCTTTCCTATTCTATTCACAAACATGATGCTATCGATATTGCTGATCCTAGCAGTACACAGGACGCGTGTCATATGTACCTCATAATAGGCGTCACTCACTCACCATAGAGTCTCTGTGGCTCAGTGGTAAAGCATTGGAGCATGGCCTGAGGTTCTTGTGGTGACTCAATTTTTTCTTTGTCCTACGCTTGTCACAAGATGAAAAACATCTTTCTCTATTTTTTTACTAAGCTCAAACTTACCATCTCTCTCATACTATTTAGAACCAGTTTAATTGTTATCTTCCAAAATAGGTCTAATAGGAAATTGAAACTTAAAAACATTAGGTATTTGTCATCAGTATCTCAAAACTATTTAGCTTGTTTCTAATATATAATACCAAATTTGACTAATCTTCCATGTAGTCAACATTCCAATCTGTTCGTTGGCAACTTCTTTCAGCTGTAAAGAGTTTTTTCTCAAATTGAGGTCTTGTTTCTCTTCAGGTGTTTGATAATTTTTGAAATGTTGTGGTAGATTTGCAACAAAAACAGGCAAAACATAGGAACACGTGGAATTTCAAGCCATTTAGTTCCAACACCAAATAACTATGTAATTTCTTGATATCAATGCTGTAAATTATTTTATTTTATAAGTTTGAATGAGGTCAATTTATCCCTCATTGTATCTGAGTTAGATAAAAAATGTTCTTAACATTACTCAGAGCTATTACTTTGCACTTAAGATTTGTAGCTATACAGCTCCACTGCATGAATTGTCAGTTCATCTAGAAAAAAATGACAGTGGCAGATCATAAAAAGCATTATGACAAGACTGCCAGACCACACCC